CTGCAAGTGAGAATAGAATTATTCTACTGCAATGCATCCCGTGACCTCAGCTTCAGAAAAAAAAATATTGGAAAAAGTTCATAGTGTTTACCCTAGTGCACAGTCAAGCTGGATGGGAGCTTCTATTGTACAGTACATATATAGCGGCTATGCTCTCTCCACAATTCAGTATTGCATGTGGGCTGCAATACTTTGGAGAACCACCAGATGTCAGCAGAGATACAGAAAAATCCCACTCTGCCACCAGGTTGGGGCTGACTTACATTTACATGGATGTTACAGCCATAGCAGCAGCTGCTGCATAATAGGTGAAGTTTGTTTCCTTTTTCAGTCTATGTGTATTATGCAAACCAAACCCATTTGGCTAGTGCAGGGGTAGGCAACCTTGGCTCTTTTATGACTCGTGGACTTCAACTCCCAGAATTCCTGAGCCAGCCATGCTAGCTCAGGAATTCTGGGAGTTGAAGTCCACAAGTCATAAAAGAGCCAAGGTTGCCTACCCCTGGGCTAGTGTATGGTTCAGTATATGGGTCAAACTCAGAAGATAGGGGTAGTGTAGTACCTGATGAAGTATATTGTGAGAGCTCAACTAACATGATATGAAGCCCCAACCTCTCTCAACTGCATCTATGTTGAATGGAAATAGTCAGTCTTTCCTGAGCAATACTTCAGTATCCATGTACCCTTAGATACTGAAGTCTGAGTTGTGCTTTATTCTGTTTCCTTTGCTGCATGGAACACTGACCTCTCAGTTCTTATTCATATATAAATGCTAGGCTGAATGGGTCTGTAGTATTAGAGAGTGAGAACTATCTTGCTTGCTACTGGCTTAAGATTATTTTGCCCTTACATTTATTTTTCAAAAAATGTTGTTAAATGTAAATAGCATAATTGTGATTTGAGGGGAAAAAGGTGTTCGAATTAGTTTGTTTTTCTCTTTTCTCCTTGTCCTTTTTTCCTAATGCCTTTCATATTGTAAGCTTAAGAGGATAGATGAGTAAGATTACTGATTTTATGTAGACAGTTCTCTTTTCATCTGAAGAGCTAGTAAACAAAATGGCTTCAGGTAGGTATAGACATAGTGTTACCTTAATTAAGTTGGAGAGCAAATATTCTCTAAGGAAGATAGTCAGGGTCTAATAGATTCTTCAAGTGATACTACCATCTCACTGCCTCAAGAACCTCACCAGGAATGAAGCAACTTAAAACTTAAACAGTTAAAAAAACATTTATGCACCACTTCTAGATGAGATGAGCAGCACATAAATCAACCAATCAAATCAGTAAAGGAGAATATTTGTAACTCATGATTGAAATGAGGGGTCCTTGGTGCTCTCTGAGCTTGGTGGTTTTTCTACAGATGTTTCATTACCCAAAGTAGGTAACATCATCATCAGTGCTCAGAGCAATGATAATGTTACTTAGTTTGGGTAATGAAACGTCTTTCAAGAAAACAACCAACTTCAGAGAGCACCCAGGACCCTTCAAACAAACAGCATGTCTTCTAAAACAAAAAGCAGCAGCATGCTACAGAAAGAGATCTTTCGGGTATTCCCTCTATGCTCTCTTTGGCTCAGTCATGGATATCATGACGAATCACCACATAGCATCACCAGACACAGAAAAATCTCATGCACATCTGAAAAGATACTTAAGGATTTAAATTGATTAGTTAAGCAAGGCCAAATTCAGAAGCAGCCAAGAGCTGCCAAAATAAAAACCTGGATAGAACAATCAACCCCTCAGGTTTGTAAGATACATAGATCTTTCTGTTATCACCAAAATTCAAATTTCAAGTGTATTAAGTCAACTTGATACTTAGTCAGTATCCTCTTTAGAAGGATTCACCACCAGTGAGTTAAAAAATGTATTCTACCATGGAACTGAGCCTAATAACCATATGCATATTCAATCAGACAATGCTCTCAATGGATTCTATAGGACTTGCTCCAGGTATGTACAGAATTTCACCTCTACTTATGGAGTATAGTTTTATGCCTCTCAGTTCAGTATTAAACTCCATGATGTTCAACAAAGCTCAATCCCTAGAAAATATGTTCAAGACTGACGCTTAAACTAGGAAATTACATCATTACAGTATACATTCTTTGTTCTTAACATCTAATTGTAGAAATTATGCAATATTGTAGTAGGGAACAGCTAAATTATAATAGTTACAGATAGCACAGCTAATAATGAGAGATGCTGAAAATTAATTCAGCAACATCTAGAAAGCTAGAGATTCCCATTTATTTTTTTTTTTGCTGTGAAGTGATAAAATTAAAAGTTACCAGATATTCCCATGTGGAAAAATTATCATGGCATTTTCATCATCAAAATCTAAGGATTTAGTTGAAATCAGAAAAAGTAAATTCAGTCTCAAAACCTTGGGGATCAATTGGTCAAGAGTTCATTAGACTGCCTGCATATTGATATACGGTAGAGAAAAATAATCCAAACATATAAATAAAATAATTTCCTCTCTGTTTGGCTTTTATTTTCAAGAATATCTTTCTTGCTTGTTCTCTCTTTTGTATTATATAGAAATATTGTTGGATTTCTTAAGACATTTAAAAATGGCACAGTTTAACAATATATATATATGGTATAAATCCTGGTAAAAATCCCACACAGAATCTAATAGAAATACAAAGAGAACATGACATATAAATGGACTCAAAAGAAGTTACTGGGAAGCAGTAGTGGAAATTGAAACCTGGAAACTAATCAGTCTTTCCCAACCTTGTCCCCCAATGTGTCAGACTCCTCCTCCCTTAATACTCATCAAGGAAAATTTGGAAGGGCCAATTGAGGGCATGATATTACTTTGGAATAAGGGTAAATCAGGGTATTCAAAGTTAAGTTTCTTCCAGTTGTAGCTGGATTTAATGTGTAGCTGGATTTCAGTGTAGCTAGATTTAATGAATCTTCATAGCCTAACTATGATGGCAAAACAATCTTGCAAAAACTCAGGGGATGTCAATTATTTTCATAAATGGACTTTTGAGGGACCGGTAGCCAAGAATCACCAGCAGAGACAGAAATAAAAGCATGTCTTATCATAGAAAAGTAGAATGTGAAAATTTCTAGAGAATCTACATAGAGAAGTGATATTCTATTGTATGATCTGATCATTTATTTTAAAGTGAAAATTTGCACACTTAAAATTGTGATCACACTTTCATGCAGCTTCAGGAATTCTGACTTGTAAATCAATGTTTACACTGTGCAGTGTGTTTTTGCAGACTGAACTGTTCATCATGTTGCTGGGCCGGATACTAGCTTGAGTCCAGCTTCAGTCAGAATGTTATTTTATTTATCAAATTTATATGCCGCTCATCTTGTGGTATGGTTTTCACCCCGATGTGCAGTATCTGCTTAAAGAAGAATGCAAAGGGTGAACTACCGAAGAATATGCAGATTTTTGCAAATTATTATATTAATTCAGAAGTAATATGCTATTTTAATAACATTGTACTGTATATTCTTTGTCTAAATAAATAGGTTTAATATTTAACTATACCAAATATTGTGGCTTTAACACATTTTCTAATTCTAGCCAGAATTAGTCAGGAGTAGCTCCTCTTTCTCACCACCTTCAATGAAAATAATCAGCTCTATTCTTAAGACTGAAACATGTCATATTCTGCTTCTATTTAAGATTATTCAGGAATTAATATCAAGTATCATTGGCCTGTCCTAAATAAATGTGCCTAAGATAGTCTTATGGCATGACTGCTAAGTATATTTTTTGTAGAAATAAATCCTGCTTCCGTCAGTGAATGAATTTTACAGTATCACAAAATATTTTTTTTAAAAAGTTTCACGAATATTAAGCAAAATTAACTGCCTAGTCCAGGGGTCCTCAACCTTGGCCACTTTAAGACTTGTGGACTTCAACTCCCAGAATTCCTCAGCCAGTTTTGCTGGCTGAGGAATGGCCAAGGTTGAGGACCCCTGGTCTAGTCAATGGGTGAAGACCTGTGGCTTTAGTTACTTTGTGGCACTCCTTTGGCTGCAGTGAATCCTGAAGGAATCTTTTGGATCCCTTTTCCACCTCTTAAAGACAAAGAAGCAACTGTTCCCCACTTTTTCAAGCAATTTTTCATCAGCTAGAGCTTTTTTGGGCCAAAGAATGCCACAAAATTCTGCTACTACATTTAGAGGACCATGCAAATAAACTGGGGGGTGATGCAGTTCCTGTATTTTTTAAATTTCAACCTATTTAGGTTGATCACTTCTGCAACGCACTACATCACTATAACCCAATACAAAGGGAGTGCAGAACTAATGACTCTTTTGGGTGGGGGTAATAACGGAAGCCATGTTTATTCTAACAGATTTCTAGACTAAGAGACAAATTAATGCCTCTACTTCATTAACTGTGTTAGACTTGAACTCAAAGATCAGATAGGATGATAGGATGAGTTGATATTTGGATGCACAATAAAGCTACTGTATATAATCTTAAATAAGAAGATTCTTGCTCTGATTGATGGAAACAGACCTTTTTTATGATTCAAGCATAAATTATTTTGTTCTTTTCTTTACCTTTAAAAAAAGTTATACTACAAAAGTCTCCATAATAAATGTCTTTAAAAGTCCCTATAATACAAATTCTAAAAATAATGCAAATACACCTTTTTCTTCACACTATAACACTCAAATAAACCCTTTGTTGTTCACTGTGAATATGGTCCCATGTGTGTAAATTGCACTGATTTCTAAAGAACCAAGGGGGGGGGGAAATCACTGCATTCATTCTGCAGTATAATTTCAGTGATAACATAGTTATGCTCTTCAATAAAAACTACTATTTGTGAACATCCAATATTCCTATATTAGGGAAATTAGATTAAATTATAAATTAGGCCATTTATAAGGGATAAATTTTTGTCCTTAGATGAGCTGAGAATTTTATCCCCTCCCTCAACCAGGACAGCAGCCACCAAGGGCATTGGTTTGCAAAAATGCATGGTATTCTCAAATTCAAACAGAGCTATCTTACAATGTTTATTCAGAAATCAATTTCATTGCCCAGAAGGGAGCTTGTTCCTGGATAATGAGTATAATAGGACTGCAGTCTATGCATATCCCAATCAAATTAGAAATCCTTATTAACTGAGGGAAAGAAGGAATTCCGAGTACCATTTACAGCAAAATTACAACATACTGAAAGCAATTTCTGGTAAAAACATGACAATAATCTTTTGCGACATTGTGAGGGCATCACAAAAATATCCCCAACCACCTTAAGATAAACAGCAGGTATTTCCAATATGATATGTTACTATAATATTGTATATTCAGAAGGCTTATACTTTGCCCCTCTAAAGTTTCAATAATATCATTCGATTTTTCTGTTAACACATTAACACAATGAGCACCAATAAATAAACCAGAGGAAAGCTCTTAAAGATTGTATTAATATTACATTGTGCAAAACATGTAATGACCTACATTCTATACACATACCCTGACTAAAATATGCAGACTAAATTCAGAAGCCATTGTTCAGTTTCTACTTTTTCCTTGGCAATTCAAGTGGCTGCAATCCTGTAATTAGATACACTACCTTCCCTTGATTCTGTGTGGTGAAGGAGCTGAGCATGTGCTAGACTACTGCCACAATGTCCAGCTAACACTGCACGGTTAACATCTATGGGACCTTTGTTATTGGTTTGAATAAAACCAGCTATAGGTATTGAATAATGGCTTCCATATCTGGCCTGATTTTGTGATTGGTGTTACACTTACATTAATCCACTTAAGTGCAGGAGAACTTTTTTATGATGATGATGATGATGGGGATGATTTGCAAAAAGAAAAGTCACTGTTGTAATAGATTTAGTATTTGATTCTCAAACCTGCCCTCTTTTTGGGAAGATGAATAGCTTATACAGTTTAGACAATGAAGTAACTCTTTCAAGATCCATTATAATGTGATTATCCAGCAGGGATAGGCTTTTTAGTTCCATAAAAGAAGGACGGCTCAGTATCTATTTATCATTAAGTGCTTTCTTCATTCAAATAAACAATAGTTCAATTCATCAACATGTCTTTTGCTGCTGAGAAGACAATAATGATCGCCGTCTGGTAGCTGGGTGTCCCAAACGAAATTCTCATTGCTTCTTCAGACAGAGGCTAACAGAACCGGAGCCAATTTGGAATCTAAAATTTTGGTTATCTTTGTTTTGTTTGTTTTTTTTAAATAATAATTTGAAAGACCTAGGTCAACCAAGTTTAGTAATCTGGAGGTCTCCATTTATCTTTATTGTATCAATAGCTGATAACTTCTCAATGCGATGGTAAAAATCAAAAAGCTGGTGTCCGTCCACGAATATTCTAAAACGAGGGTGTTCACACAATATTTCAACCTGTAAGAAATAAAGTATGGATGAGGACCACAATTTTAATTGGAACATTTTAAGAATGTAGCAGTGATATAAGAAGTGCTATCTATCTGACATAGCTTTGACCATCTGTGTGGTTTGGACTAGATCACTCTTTTGCAAGAGGGCAGATGTCCTCTTTTGCAATCCAAGTTGACAGACTCTGTGATCCATACAGAACTGGAAGGCTATTTGCAGCTGAGAAAAGAAAACCTGCTCACAGAATCTCTGGCTGACGTCGCTAAAGCCCCCAAGTCAAATTCAGTTTCATATTTATATTTATTTATTATTTATTATTTATTTATTATTTACATTTATATCCCGCCCTTCTCCTTGCGGACTCAGGGCGGCTAACAATTGGATAAAAACAAACATATAAAACACCTATTAAAATTGATTAAAAAGAAATATTTAAATTCATCCAATTAAAAGTAATTAAAACCCCTTTAAAATCCCTTAGGCCAGTCCCGCAAGCTGGAACAACCACGTCTTGAGGGCGCGGCGGAAGGAAGGGAGATCAGGGATCACCCTGATCTCTGGGGGCAGTTCGTTCCAGAGGGTGGAGCTCCCACAGAGAAGGCCCTCCCCCTTGGGGTCGCCAGCCGGCACTGTCTGGCTGACGGTACCCTGAGGAGACCCACTCTGTGGGAGCGTACCGGTCGGTGGGGGGTAATCTGTGGCAGGAGGCGGTCTCGAAGATAGCCAGGTCCGATGCCATGGAGCGCTTTAAAGATAATAGTCAGCACCTTGAAGCGCACCCGGAAGGCCACCGGCAGCCAATGCAGCTCGCGCAAAAGCGGCGCAACATGGGAGCGACGAGTCCCTCCCAACACCGCCCGCGCGGCCGCATTTTGGACTAGCTGGAGCCTCCGGGTGCTCTTCAAGGGGAGCCCCATGTAGAGAGCATTGCAGTAGTCCAGGCGGGAAGTGACAAGAGCATGAGTGACCGTGCGTAAGGCGTCCCGGTCCAGAAACGGCCGCAACTGGTGAATCAGGCGAACCTGATAAAACGCTCCCCTGGTCACGGCTGCCAACTGGTCATCCAGTGTCAGCCGCGAATCCAGGAGAACACCCAAGTTGCGGACCCGATCCGAGGGGGCCAAAGTTTCGCCCCCTATAGTCAGCGATGGAATCAGCTGACTATGCCGAGGCGCCGGTAACCACAGCCACTCGGTCTTGGACGGGTTGAGTCTGAGTTTGTTCCTCCCCATCCAGACCCTCACGGCCTNTATGTACAGCTGAGTGTCATCAGCGTACTGATGGAAATCCACCCCGAAGCCACGAATGATCTCCCCCAGCGGCTTCACATAAATATTGAACAGAAGCGGAGAGAGGACCGACCCCTGTGGGACCCCACAAGTTAGGGGTCTTGGGGTCGACCTCTGTCCCCCTGCCAATACAGACTGCGTACGGTCGGTGAGGAAGGAGAACCACCGCATCACGGTGCCCCCCACTCCCAACCCACCCAACCGCCGCAGCATGATACCGTGGTCCACAGTATCAAAAGCCGCCGAGAGGTCCAAAAGAACTAGGACAGAGGAATAACCCCTGTCCCGGGCCCTCCAGAGATCATTGACCAACGTGACCAATGCCGTTTCCGTGCTGTATCCCGGCCTGAAGCCCGACTGGAGCGGGTCCAGATAGACTGTTTCCTCCAGGTGCCGAGGGAATTGCTGCGCAACCACACTCTCGACAACCTTCACCACAAAGCGAAGGTTGGAGACCGGGCGATAGTTAGCCAATACATCTGGGTCCAGGGAGGGCTTCTTAAGGAGGGGCCTCACCACCGCCTCCTTTAAGGCCGCGGGGAAGGCACCCTCCCACAAAGAAGCGTTTACAATTCCCTGCTTTCTTCCAGGGATTCAAAACAGTATATGTAACATAGATTTTCACTCAGTTTTACCCCACAGTATCACCACTGCTACACTGAGAGAAAATATCCAGCAACTGATCATCCATCAAGCTTCCATTTCTAAAGGTCGATTTGTTGTCTCCAAGCCTAATTTAAAACCTTAAGTGCTCTGTTGAACTTTCTTTACTCTTTAACACACTATTCACAAAGGTTTTTATTTGTACAACACAATGAAGCAATAACTACGATTCTAAACACTTTCATGCCAGCTACCTCAAATTCAGACATATGTATATGAGTACTTAGTAACTAGAGAAGCAAATAACAATGTACTTGTGAAATCTTATGATATGTAAACATGAAAATTAAAAAATAAAAATAAAATAATAGACCTAAATCTTGAATGATAAGGTGGAGATTTCATTCCCTCAAAAAATAGTGGCTGCTGCCAGGACAGAAATAAAACATTATTTTATTTCATCTCTATTTAATAAAAATTAAGCATATTGATATGACTACACTATAGTTACTGTATGTATTTAATAATCCCCCTTTATTGTTTTATTAACTATTACAATTTGTAATACGTTTTTGCTATCTCTTTCTTGGGCCTCTGCACAACCCTGAAGGTTTTGGGACATGCACTTCTGGTATCACTGAATAAAAAGAGCATTCGATGGACATAAACCAGTGGTTCTCAACCTTTTTAATGCCGCGACCCCAACCGGTCGTAAGTTGAGGACTAAACCGGTCGTAAGTCGAGGACTAAACCGGTCGTAAGTCGAGGACTACCCAACCGGTCGTAAGTCGAGGACTTTCCCTGCTCGAGAGTGCCGCGTATGCGTGGTTCCGCCCCCTGCGCCGGCCAAGGCGTAGACGGAACAGACCGACCACCAGCTGGCCCAGCTCAAGGGAGGTAAGGCACCTGCCGGAAAAGGGGGGAAAAAATGGCGGACAAAACAAATGGCAGACAAAAAAAATGGCGGACAGCCTTGCTTGGCAACCCTCGTGAAATGGTCGATCGACCCCAAATGGGGTCCCGACCCACAGGTTGAGAACCACTGCCATAAACAGTCAAAGCCAAGCACTTTTAAACTGTGATCATTTTGAATGAAAAACAGCAAAATTTCATTTAGAGTCTTTAAACCTTTTTTTAAAAAAGTCTTCAAATACCCATAAATAATGTTCTGATCTCATCTTCATTATTCATATAAGACTTGAAAACAAATATTTGCCATACAAAAGGGAAAAAAATCCTCAATTGCATCTAACTCGTAAATTTCTTCTCAATGCCCAGAAAATTTAGAAGTTGGAACAGTGTATAAGATGATTCCCCATATTTTCTTACTGACAAATGAGTTTTCCTTGTCTGATGACAAGGAATATCTCTAGTATTCCAAATGAAGTACAATTGAGCAGACCATCAATGATCTAACATGCTGGAGTAGACTACCAATGATCATATTGCTGGGGATTACAGCAACCATCATCCAATAGATCTGGAAGATGTCCTATATCAGAGGTCCCCAACCTTTTGGGCATCAGAGACCGGTTCTCATGGAGAGAGGTTTTTTTCCGCAGACTGGAGGGTGCGTGGTTTTGTGTGCTGCCTGCATCTTGCGGATGGGGCTTTGCTTGTTTGTGCGGACCGGTTGCTGGCATGCCGCGGCCCGGTACTGGTCCACGGACCGGGTGTTGGGGACCCCTGCCCTGTATTATACCCTTTAACTGGGGAAGCCCACTGAAGAGTATAATCACTTGCTGGAAACTCCATCACTGATCACTGCTGGAAGTGTTAATGATTCACAGAATACTATAACAAATACATACAAGGAATTATCTTCATTTCTACAACCATAAGGCAACAAAATCCAGTTCTCAAATCCAAATTTATTTATTTATTTATTTATTTATTTATTATTTGGATTTATATCCCGCCCTTCTCCTCGCAGGACTCAGGGCGGGATATAAAATGATATTTTGTTTAAATTAGTGATTCTCATGGTGTGGCCTGGGTCCCTGAGACCCCTTCAAGGGGTTCACAAAGTTAAATACATATTTTAAAATTACTCAGTTTTCCAATATAGTAAACATCAAAAGATATATAATGTGTGTAAACCAAAGCTCTTTGTGATTCTCAATCATTTTTAAGAATGAAAGGGGTTCTGAGACCAAAATGTTTGAGAACCACTGGCTTAGATTATAAAAACATGCTCTCTATGGGGTTATTCTTGAAGGTTGTTTAATAGCTTATTATAACAAGATTATTAAATGGCCCATGTAATAGGGTACACTGAGCACTTTTCAAGTAGCTACATTATTTACTCCCAACTAATCAAATTGAATAAGCTAGTTTTAAGCTACAAATCTCTAAGACTAAGATACCTAAGGAACTGCCTTCTTCCATTTTGACTCTGGATGGCCACTAGGATCAGCATCAAAGGCTCTGTGGCAGGGTCTTCTGCCAGCTGATAAAGTGATTGATAAAATGAATGGAGGTATTTTTTTAAAAAAATAACAACCCACTAACTCCACTTTAGGAATCTTTTCCCAACAGTCTTGCTTGTCCGCTTGAGTTAATTCTTTGCCTTTTTAATGTTGGACTTGGTAGTTATTGGCAGTGCTTCAGATTTACTCTTGCTGACTGTGATTAGATTTCTTCCTTCTATTTGTTGGGGGTTTTTTTGGTCATTCCAGCTCCTTTGAGAACATACTAAAGACTGATCAATGCAAAATGATGCCCTCCTTTGCTCTTGACTCCTTAAACAATATATTGTGTTCATGTCCTAAAATCAGTGTTGTAAAGCAAATGCAATGTGGCTCTTAGGATAACAATAACATTACTAGAGAAGTCCATACAATCAATGGACACTAATGCAGGACATGTTTGGTTTAGATAGCTATTCTGAGCTAACTTCAAATCAGTGCATATCACTTATCCTATGTTTTAAAGTATTTTTTCTTCCTCGCATTTTTTTAGAAAGTATAAAACAACAATAAACAATATTGAAAACTATTATTATAATTTTGGTTTCTCACAAGTTTCCACTGAGTACTTAGCCATTACTAAGAACAAAGCAATGCATTTTATATATAAATAGATCTAACTGATCTCCACCAACAGACAAGAAATCACATAATCCCAAGCTGCACTATTCACAAAGGAATTAAAGCCCAGTTTGTAAAGCATAAACTTATAATAGCATGGGGTTCTGTTTTTCTGTGTTGTTCCTTATATGGCACTGTTTTTCATCATTATCCTACAGAGCAGATTACTGCTCCTAAAAGATAATTTATCCATGGGACAAGTTACCCCCCCCCCGGGAGTACTGTAAGATATATAAGATACATAAGAAAAACTTAAAAGTTTTTTTTTAAAAAAAAAAACCACCATTATTTTTTTTCTTCTCATTCCAGCCCAATCAGTCATCTACTGTAGGAATGAATGTCCTTCCGGTCAGTTGGCAAGAGAGGTCAGTATGCGATCACCAGAATTAAGATATAAGAGCAACGCTGTTGAATAACTATGTGAAGCTTCTGAAGGTCAGCACAGAGTGAGGCATCATCAATACGCGGATGATACCCAGTTAAATATTCCATCACAGCAAGAGACCCTCTAACCCAGTAGATAGAGGCTGTCAGCATCTGGAGGAGAAAATCAGACTAACACTGAACCTCAGTAAGATAGAGTGAATATGGATCAAAAATCTGACTAAGATTGGATGTAGTCTATCTTTGACCCTGGGTGGGATTGTGCTTACACCCTGGGGATCCTTTTATACTAGCAGTCCATGTCTGAACAGCAGGTAGATACCATGACAAAGTTGATCCCCTTTTGTGATTTTCTGACAAAGTCAGTGGGGAAGCCACGTAACAACTGTATTATTATCTTAACAACTGCAGTAATTCACTTAATGATTATAGCAAGAAAGGTCGTAAAATGGGGCAAAACTCACTTAACAACTGTCTCGCTTAGCAACATAAACGTTGGGCTCAATTGTGACCGTAAGGCAAGGAAATTCCTGTATAGGAATTTCACTGGATGCCACTTAGCTTCTGAATGCAATTTAAGATGCTGGTGATCACCTTTAAAACGCTACACAACTCAAGGTTGAACCTGCCTGTGTACTAAGGTCAAGAAGTGACTTACTTTTGGTCCAACCACGGACGAAGCCTATAGTCAAATCTCCTCAGTGATAGTGGCTGATTATGGCTGCTGTTGTAAGGCGAGAGTTAGCAAATGAAGAAAGAAAAGGGGAGAAGCTCAATTCTTGAAGGGCAGCTGTGATGTCACAAGGACTGATGAGCTGAACTGTGGGGAGATGCAGAGACTACAGTTCCATTGGCCCAGCCTGGTATATAGTGTTGGGGACTAGAGCCCTGGAGGGACACCCACTTCCTCAGTTGCTGGGGAACATTCAATTTTGTACTGACCCAAAATTGGAGAGAGAGAAGAGAGGAGAGAATAAGAAAATGCAAAATGGGAGTGGCTGGAGAGAAAAGGTGAAGAGTGAAGTTACATAAGCATTTAGAACAGTTCTTGGTTCATGGCCAGAGCAGAGGGAGAAGAAAAAATCCATGTGTGGCTTCCTTGGAAGAAGGGAAAGGAAGTCCCAGATAGATGACATCTTCACCCAGGGACGGAACCAGCTCCTGTTGGAAAAGTTCCGATCTCTAGGGAAGGACTGAGCAGAAGACCCTGAAGGTGGTTCTTCCCCCAAGAGGGGAGAAGGTGACCAGCCAGGTGGAGCCAGAAGAATTTGAGCCCATTCTTTTCTTTTCACTTTCTGTAAGAAGCCCAGAAATGGGAGGGAGATAGAATGAAGAGGGAGGAAAGTTAGCAGGAGAATTAGAGAATAATCTCTGAGAGAAAGATCTAGGACTTGACAACCAGCAAAAATCAGGACCGTGTTGTATGTACCTGTTGTAAATACTTGTTATAAATAGTTTCAGTATATATAGTAAAAGAAAGCATAGACATTGCCACTGTCTTTTTCTCTGTCAATTGCCATCCCTGCAAGCATAAATACACATCCAGTTTAAAAGAATCCAGTCCCATTATGATACCTTCCTTTGGAAAACTCTACCTCCTAATATCTGGATCACACTGTCCTTATTTTGGAACAGCTATGAAAATATGACCTTTGGGGTATGAATAAGACCTTTAAATGATGGCTCATCAGATTGTTTGCAAATTGTTATGGACTGAATTTATTACAAGTCTTTAATCCTACTCAACAGTAGGGTCATTCAGGGTCTTCAGAAATAAACTAAGGTAAGTAAATACCAAAGTAAGTAAATACATAAAGTAAGTAACTAAATAATCAAACTTCATGTTTCATTAAATTCAGATTTATTTAAGAACTCTACAAGGGGGAAATTTCTTATGAAAATCACAAATGCAAACATTTTCAGGGAAGAAAAAATGGAGGGACAACTGCAGATGGTCTTGTTTCCCAACATTCTCATGGACCACCTGAATGTAATATTTCGAAGTGTCATCTGAGGAACCCATATTCCTCCTCTTGCATAGGTATCTTCAGTGAATGTATATGGAGTCAAAAGAGGAGAGGAATCTAGTAGCTCTAGAACCTCACATAATCATTGAATATAGCACCTTTTTTACTATTTATTAAAACTATTTATTATTTCTTTTTTCAGGCTTCTCTGTGAGTGTGAAAAAGTAGCTGCTTTAATGAGTCAAATTATTTTCACAATACATCTTTAATGCTGCTCTTATAGCAAAAACATCCTTTTTCTAAGAATCATGGAAGGCCTGAATGAATAGTGGAGAAATAGTGGTTTTTAAAGTACAGACCACTCTAAAATCTAGCTTTTCATTTGAATGTAATGCTATGACAGCATCGTTTGTTTGCTGGTTATCTTATCTTTATGTCAAGAATCTAAGACTGCTTTTGATTCGAATGTGCATCTGATTGTATTACAGGTAGTCCTTGACTTACAACAGTTCATTTAGTGACCGTTCAAAATTACAACAGCACTGGAAAAAGTGACTTATGACCATTTCTCACACTTACAACCATTGCAGCATCCCCATGATCATGTGATCCAAATTCACATGCTTGGCAATATTTATGACCGTTGCTGTGTCCCACGGTCATGTAATCACTTTTTGCAACCTTCTGACAAGCAAAATCAATGGGGAAGCCAGATTTACTTAACAACCAGGTTATTAACTTATCAACTGCAGTGATTCACTTAACAGCTTAAAATGGGGCAAAACTCACTTAACAAATGTCTCATTTAACAACAGCAATTTGGGGCTCAATTGTGATCATAAGTCGAGGACTACCTACATTACACCCCTTTTCTCTTATTATAATGAGATGGCATAAAGGAACAAAATAAGACCAAAATACATAAAGCATGCTTTAAAAAAAGCGTTAGTCCTATGGCTGTTATAAGAAGCTAAACTCACCCTATGAGATCTCTATGGCAATATATGAAAAGCACTTCAACCAACTGAGAATAGTGAGACATTTTATACCCAATGAAACAAAAAGCCATGGAGTCAATACCAATGAGTATAGAAATCATGTGGCAACCACTTTAAATAGTGGCATGTTTTAGAGTGTTTTTAATTTATGTTTTTAATAACCACACCAAGAAAGTTTCTGTGCCTCTAAATATTACCATCTTTCATTTGCTGTCATGTTCCTATATCTGGATTGAATAAATCGCCATCAGAATGAATGTATGTGTTGGTGTCTGCATAATATTACATTCCTACAGTAAAGTTTACATGCAGTTGTGTTATTTAGAGGGCAAAAATTAGCACTGAAACACACCCAGAACAGAATCATCAAAATTACATCAGTGTCAACAGTGTCAGTGGTTAGTCAATAAACTCTCAGCACTCACCCTGAAGGGCTGGTCAGGGATAAATGGGAAATATGGAAGAGATGACTGCTCTTCTCCCCATTCTCCAGATATGCAGGAATTCCTGAGGAACTGTTTATCTGAAAATAAGGCTTTCAGTTCAATTGCTGTATCAGCAGGAGGATCTTCTGAATCTCCACATGTAAGACTGATGTCAAAACTGTAAAAAGCAAGAACATCTCTTCATTCACCCAAAACAAGCAAAGAAATCTAAGATGCAGCCTACGTATAAACAAATGTCTTTCTGTCATTGCCAACAGTAATCATAGTTGGTGTTTATGTTTCAACTCTAGTTTGTATCTTCCGTACTGCCACTTCTCAACATACTGTACTTGGTTCCTTCACCCCCAGCCAGGAGATACCCTCTACCCAGAAACCATTGTAAAGCATCCCTCCCTGTGCCCATTTATAAGAAATCTTCCCATATAAAAAACATTACATCTATATCTGCCTCCTCCCTATAGGTCAAATGAGAAACCAACGTTCTATATTTACAGCTACAGATAAAAATAACTGTCCTCGGGAATGATGGATGTTTGGCAGCTACATTCTTCTTGTGGGAACACGCTTTTTCTCGTGGTTCTTGGACAGAGAAGGAATGCATGGACAGGGATGGAAAAGCCCTGCCAGGGGAAAGCAAGCCGGCCCTGTGTCTTGTTACCTCTCTGGGTTGAGATCCACGATGCCCATTACCACGACTTTCTTGCCTGGCCTCATGCCTCCTTTGATGTGCCCACAGAAAGGGACAATCTGGAAAAGGATTGCAGGGAGTCAAAATGAGTAGCCTCTGATTACAGAGCGGAAGGAGAAGGGGGCCAGATCAGGCCTGATTATAGGAAGAGAGGGAGAGAAGGAAAGCAAATCCTTTACCAGTCGTGGAAAATACACTTCGGCTTGAACTGGGGATCCCAAAGAGTTGTTTAAAAGTCTGTCCTCTATTTTCTAAAAGCAAAAACAAAACAACACATTCAGACACAGAAGGCACCCTTTGTGTTCAGCCCAGAGACGGATGGAAAGGGGAAGGAAAGGGGGGGGGGCTGAGCAACAGAGCGCCAATTTCATTTCAAGTCTTGAAGAGAGAATCCATCTTTTTCCTCCAGCCCTTTCGCAAAACAAAGGGTGTTGCCTCCCAATTCCCCAGCAAAGTCTTCCAGGTACAATTCATGTCGGACTGCTCAGATCCATGCTCCCCTCCCCCGCTCCCCATCTATGCATCTCACACACCTGATCATCCAGGTACAAAAAACGCAAAATACACTTATCTTCCCACCCTACACCCCCCCCAGCAGGGAGAAGGAATAAGAAATCGCGGGGCTAGGGCTCCCCCACCCACCCCCAGCGATTCCGCCAGCCCTCCCCACCGCCTTTCAGTCCCCGAGGCGTTTTCTTGGCGCCGCTGCAAACAGGTCCCCCTCCTTCTCTCGAGATCCCAATCCGCAGCTCCCCTCTCCCAGCTCGAATCCGTCGCTAGGCGGGATCTGGGCGAGAGCCCTCAAGAACCAGGCGCCACCGACCGACCTAAACACGCCCGGCTGTCACCGCCGCTCACCTTGACGGCCGGGACACCCGCGGAGGGTTTAGGGAAAAGGGCCACTTACCACCGCGTCCCTCTCTGCCACCGACCCCGCCATCTTGTTGAGACGGTGCAGCGAGCGCTAAGCCTCGATCGGCTGGAGGAGGAAGAGGGGGAGCTGCAGGAGGGCAGAACCCGGCTTAGACGTGCCTGCCGAGCGCTGGCCAAGAGGCGTCCGGAGCTGAACTGGCAGGGAAGCGGAGAGAGGGAGGGAGACGGAGGGGGAGGGACGGGGGCGGGAGCTAATCTCGGCTGTCCCGAGCCCGGGATCCGGGAGGCATTCTGCGCAAATCCCCCAGCCGGCTACGCCGCGCGAGGTTGGGGATGCAGCAGCAGCAGAAGCTGTGCAGCGGACAACGTAGACGCAAAACCAGCCAGCTGCTCTGCCCCCCTGGCACTTCAGAGAGCCCTGAACCCGATTTCAGGAAGCCCAGTGCTGAAAGGAGCCGGGCGGGGCCGGCGGTAGCCCAGGCTGTTGCAGCTTCTTCCGTTCGTACTTTGCCTCCGAGCTGTTTTGCTGCGGGAAAGCAGGAAGAGAAGGGAAAGCCGCGGTTCTGGAAGGGGGCACAGTGCAGCCCGGACGGCCTCGGGAGGTGGCAGCGGCGTTGGCGGTTCTAAATAGACCCGGCTAAGGAAGGAAGCCGGCTTGGCTGGGAGGCGGAGCGGGCGGGGCGCAGTTTGAGCTCCGCCGCTGGTAGAACGGGGTGGGCCTGCAAGACGCACAGAGATGATCGCTGCGAAATGTCTAGTGACAATCTACCTTTTTTTCTTACAGTTTCCATTTGATTTACCGCCCTATTCAAATACTGGGGTGTTTTGGAATTTAAGCTTTTTTTTCTAAACAAAAACGCCGGTTAGCCAGTACATGTGTGCAATAAACAAACTAGGTACTCTATAATAAATACTAATTAGAACTAGTAGGTAATCAATAATTGCTTTTATTTTTTCTTTGTTGATAATGCAATCATTGCCCATTTAATGACTTCAGTTCATTTTTTAAAAAAGCACCTCTTGATGGCATTATCTATAGTAGCTTCTTATGGGAAATTCATTTTTTTGCTAAAATCTCCTCCTTTTCCCTTCAAATGTTTAAAGCCTTTACAACTCCTTTTGGTTAACTTTTATTCAAGAAGACAGACCAGAACAAACTTTCTGCCGACTTTGGCAAACATTTAGAAACTAAAAATAATGATACTGCCACCAGGTGCTGACTGGGGCCTGTACTCAAAGCAGGTTATTCTTGCATTAGTGTGTACTTTAGCTGTGCAATTTAAAGGACTCCATCATTGTGTATAGCTCAGCAACAGGATATTTAAAGGGCCTTCAATCTCTCTGTCTGCTGAGACCTTTGGGAGAAACTACACGGGGAGACAACTCAGTGATCATAGGCACCTGCCAACTCCCTGCCCACCTGAATTTATTTTTTTAAAAAAATGAAATAAGAAACTGGAATTCTGCAGTGTGCCCGGCTGTGGTATTAACCTCAGACTAGATAAGCAAACTTGAAAATTAAAGATGGTAGTGACTGTAGCCCAGCGCTTTGAAAGTGTGCCTACTTGTCTAGCAGAAAGTCACAAATAAGTTTGGGTAGACAGACAGCCTTCTGGGATACTAGAAGGAATGATAGGTTAATCTTTATAGCAAGATGCATATGATTAAAAATGTTTTAATTCATCAATGAACCTCATAAGATTGATTCCTAGAAAACCAATAGTTGGCTATGCTTATTGTACTAGATATTTTGGGGAGAACATTTGGAATTTGTTTCCAATGTTTCAGATGTGGCCATTGGCCTCAAGAGGTTGTTAATCCCTCTCCAGCTCAGTGATTGGGTGGCCTATGCCTGGTCTGTGTCTTATTGAGACCTTTAAAATATTTTAAGCTGAGACGTTTATGCAGCTATTGTTTATCAATTTCTTAGCAATCATTAGTCTACAGTATAGGGATCAACAAAAAAAGTCCCACTTGGATATCTTCATTACTGTGCAGTTTTGGAGGTCTTTGAATTAAAAATGGTGTGGAGATTGTAATCTAAATTAGCATTATTTCAGTACAACTTTGCAACAACTGAACAACAGTTATTATACACATACATTAAGAAAGAAAAAAGAAAGCACCTTTTCTATGATCATCAGTAGATGAAGATTTCAATCAATAAACCTTGATTCAAACTCATAATTTATACTTTGAAGTAAATAGTCAACTTTGTTTTGCATTTTCAAATCTTAATTTTACTACAAATTAACCTTAAATGGCTACATAAGCTACATATTTTAAAATGTAGCCACCAATCAACAAAACTTCAGAAAGTTTAGCTAACGTATTGCGCTCAATATATTCTCAGTTTTTTATCTAGAGATACCCCCATATGAAGAGTTATATAGTCCTCTAAGAAATATTCCCATTAATGCTGGGAAGAGCATCTGATGAAGTGGATTGTGAATTTTTTGTATTAATTAATTCATTTATCAAATTTATATGCTGCCCATCTCACTATCAAAATGACTGAGCAGCTTACAACAGAATAAAAGTAAACAAGTGCAGAAAAGAAATACAAAATACAGAGAAGAGCAACAAAAATAATTAGGGGACTGGAGGCTAAAACATATGATGAACAGTTGCAGGAACTGGGTATGTCTAGTGAAAAGAAGGACTAAGTGTGACATGCTAGCAGTGCTCCAATTTCTAAGGGGCTGCCACAAAGAAGAGGGAGTCAAGCTATTTTCCAAAGTGCCTGAAGGCAGGACAAGAAGCAATGGATAGAAACTAGCCAAGGAGAGAAGCAACCTAGAACTAAGGAGAAATTTCCTGACAGTGAGAACAATTAATCAGTGGAACGGCTTGTCTTCAGAAGTTGTGGGTGCTCCATCACTCAAAGTTTTAAAGAAAAGATTGGACAGTCATTTGTCTGAAATGGTATAAGGTCTGCTTGAGCAGGAGTTGGACACGATCTCCATTCCATTCCATTCCATTCCATTCTACATAAAATTAAAAGCATTATAAGCATTTATTAGATTCTTTAAAAAGTATGTGATAATAAATCATTTTTTTTAATTTCACATTGCCTTTGCTTTAAGAAATAGCATCAGATCTATCCCTCTGTTTCCCATTATTGAGTCATAATTGGCATTATGAATGTTCTTTCCTGAAAGCTGAGCTTTGGCCAACTAGGTCATCAACACCCATCCTATCTGGTCCCTCAAGATTCATAGTGGGCTGTCTCTTCATCTTCTTTTTGGTTTTACTATTTAAAAGAGAGAGATATTCTCTCAAGTCAGTCATAATCCTGCATTAGGATGAGCATGATTTTGTGTATTATGAAACAATGAATGGGAATCGGTGTGTGTGTGTGTGTTGGAGTTTGTGTTGATTCCCCCTACACACACTCAGATGCATGTACCACAATGAAAATCCAAGAGTAAAATTAAGGAATGTTTCCAGATTGTGAAAAAAAGAAATTCAATCATATCCATAAATATCTATATCTAATTGCAGGTAAATTTGTCTACTGACAGACATTTGTTTTATCTTTTAACTTGTCCACAATCTTAGGCAAAAAAAAGCTGAAAAGGACCTATAGGACTGTTGAACTGCTGAACAGCAGTTGCCAAGAACAAGCAACTGATGATGCTGTCTGATGATGCTCTGAACTTCACATACAGTATTCTCTAACAAAGTATCTCTCCACTAATTTAAAAGAACTACCTATGATCATTTTTATGATCATTACAAAGATAGGTTTTTACAATATAGGAGTGTTATCTAGCCAGTTTGGTCTAGTTCAGGGGTGTCAAACTGCCAGCCCGCGGGCCGGACGCATCATCCGGAAGCCGCGCCCATCCCATTGCTGGCAATGGTAAAACCATCCCGATACGTTGCGTGACATCACATGACGTCGTGAGTTTGACATGTCTGGTCTAGTTGGTAAGAACCAGGTTTTTGGGTTTGTTTTTTTTACCATTTTTACACATATTAACAGTTAAAGGAAAATGTTACATTTTTCCTGCTCTGACCATTCCAGGATATCCAAGCAGAGAGAGAAAGTAAGTCTGGAATGGATTTGACAGGATTGGGGTTCCATGCACAGGTAAACTAAGTCTGAACTTTGCTCCAGGCTTTCCAGGTATCCTGTTTGTCTTGGAAGAGTGAAAAAGTTCTTAGATTTTGGCTTAGCATTAATTATTTTAGAATAGAATAGAATAGAATAGAATAGAATAGAATAGAATAGAATAGAATAGAATAGAATAGAAAGGGATCTTGGAGGTCTTCTAGTCAGCCCCCTGCTCAAGCAGGAGGACCTATACCATCTCAGACAAGTGACTGTCTAGCCTCTTACTAAAAATCTCCAGTGATAGAGCGCCCACGATTTCTGGGGCCAAGCTATTCCACTGGTTAATTGTCCTCACTGTCAGAAGTTTCTCCTTAATTCCAGGTTGCTTCTCTCTTTGATCAGTTTCCAACCATTGTTTCTTGTCCTGCCCTCCGTTGTTTTGGTGAATAACGTGATCCCCCTTCTTGGTGGCAGCCCCTCAGATACTGGAACACTGCTATCATGTCTCCCCTATTTCTTCTTTTCTTTAGATTAGGCAAACCCAAGTCCTGCAGCCGTTCTTCCTATGTTTTAGTCTCCAGACCTTTGATCTTAGTTACTCTTCTCTGAATTTTTTCCAAAACTCTCAACTCCTTTTTTGTGATATGGTGACCAAAATTGGCTGCAGTATTCCAGGTGTGGTCTTACTAGGGTTTTATAAAGCAGTACTAATACTTCGCATGATCTCGATTCTATGCCTCTGTTTATACAACCCAGGATTGTATTAGCTGGCTCATAGTCAAATGATCATCTGTTTATACAACCCAGGATTGACTGCTGGCTCATAGTCAAATGATCATCCACTAGGACTCTAAGGTCCCTCTCACAGTTATTGTTTTTAAGCCAGGTCTTGCCCAATCTGTACTTGTATCTTTGATTTTTCCTGCCTAAATGTAAAACTTTGCTTTTCTCCACATTGAAACTCATTTTGTTGGATAGGGCCCATTGATCAAGTTTGTCGAGATCTTTTTGGATCTTGAGTTTGTCTTCTGGGGTGTTGGCTACTCCTGTCAATTTG